AAATAATAACTAAATAGGAAGGGTAAGATGGTCAAAATCAAATCTGTAAAACAGTTGTAAAAATCGGAATTAACATTTTTAATTTTGGTCATTTTTCAAATCAAGTGATAAATAAAGACACCTACAATAAATTTTCAATAAAAAAAAACAAATACAAATGATGGTCTATAGCCAATTTAAAATTTGATCATAACCTTTTTAAACATAAAAGTCGTTTCTTTTTTTTTGGGAAATAAGACGTGTAACCTATGATTAAATATGTTGCCTGTGTGTGTGTGTGTATATATATATATATATATTTTTTTTTTTAAGAAAATATGTAACCTATGATTAAAATATGTAATTTGACTATTTTCATTTTTTTATTTTTTGTTACATTTCAAAAAATAAATAGCTAATGTAGATACTTTAATCATATATTACACGAGATTAGAGTAGACGAGATGTATTTAGCACTGAATTTTGAATGAAACAAAATATTCTCAAATACAATTCTCTACCATATTTTGGATCAGTTTATATCCTTTCTAAATGATTATAATCTTTTAACTAGAATTCCACATTTCCAAAATAACTTTTAAATAGAATTCCATGGGGAGTCTTATAAACTATATGATTATATGTGTTAGATGCAGAAATTTGGCTTCTTGAGATTCCGCCAATTCGCACGAATCTTCTAGAATAAAAGGAATCGACGAGACCTGTAAAATAGAATAACAATAAAGACCTGTGTGGCTCTGCAAAACAGAATAACAATAAAGACCGGTGTGGCTCTTGCCACACAGGCTCGGATGCCTAAGTCAGAATCAGAGTAGTCGAGTATGGAGAGTAAGATAATTCAGCGTACGTTTAGAGTTTGATTCACCCTCTTATTTATAGAAGTCAAATTCTAATCCCTTTAGGAATTATAGAAGTTGAATCCTAGTGTGTTCAAGAGATCTGAACTCATGGGCCCATGCATTTCGTCGCAGTCTTAATGTTGAATCGAGGGTCGAGACAAGATAGGTTCGGGTTGGGCGACACAGAGGTTGAGAGAGAATCGAAGGAGGGTTCTCAGACATTGACCGAGAAGGTCTAGGTGTCGAGCACTGCTCAACGCCGACCACGGGTCGACTGTGGTCGACTCGGGTCAACTCGAGTCGACGGGTTTCGATGCTTACCTGGTTCGCGCATCTAAATTTCACTTCTGTCGCTTGGTCCGTTCTTCTATCTTCCCATAACAATAGCCTCACTCTCAAAATAGAAGGCAAAAAGCATGTTAGAGAGTAGTTGTTGCTTGGTATGGATGCCTATTTTTTTGGAATAGCCCTCTTAGCTTTTTGTCACTGTTGGTTGTCGTCTTTATGGGCCGACTCTTAGCTTTTTGTCATTGTTGGTTGTCGTCTTTATGGACCGACCTTCTTAGCCTCCATTCTCTTTTGTTGTAGTTGACTGTAATTAAGTCTCTTGGACTCTGCTATACAGTTAGTTTTAACCGTTAGATTTTGGCCTTCAGATCTAACTTTCAGTAGGGCCAGTGGTACATAATTTGGGTTTCTAATTTGGCTTTTGCCCATGGTTTTATACCCCTTGGTTTACTCTTGGGTTTCTAACCTATTTGGCTTTCGCCAATGGTTTTATACCTTGAGCTTAGTCAGCACCCTTGAGTTTCTAACCTTATTTGGCTTCTGCCGGTTTTCTACCTTGGGTTTCATTGATTGGTTTGACTTGTCTGTTTTTTGTTTTAACCTTGCTGGGCCTGTATTTTTCAGCACCTTTGGGATTCTTTTCCTCGGTTTCACTAACTGGCTTCTAGCTTATTGGCCTATTTCTAGGTCTGTCCTGGTTCGAGTTCCTTGACCAGCTATTGATTTACTTACCCATGCCCCCACTCAGAGGAATTTTCATTTAGAATAAAAGATAAATGCTCAAGTAATATGGAATTAATTAAAACTCAGATGCTATAACTAACTAGATAACCAGAAGCAAGTAACTATTCTTGGAAACATAAAATCAGACGTAATTTGAAACGAAGCAAATGATTACCTAACATATGCTACCTACCATGTAACAATTAAAAAAATTAGCCCTAAACCTATTCAATTATTGACCAAAAGAAGAAAAAAGAGAAATTAGATATTGTCCTGCAATGCGCGTTTGTCAGGTTGTCCTGTGATACTCGTTGCTCTCATTTGATTTTTGTTTGAACGAGACTATTGTTGAGGTATATTTCTTTAGAGGGTCTCATTGATCTGATTGGTCTTGAGTTTTGTCGAGACCCCGCTTTGAATGGAGTAGCTCTTATGCGCTCATATATTTTTGGGGTCGATTCAATGCCTCTAAGAAAGTTGCTAGGTTTTTTTTTTTTTTTTCCGAAAAGAGAATAATAGCTATTTATCTCTTACACAAGATATGAAAGAGAGTAGCGATATTTCATCGGTAAGATCTTTGACTAGTAATCTTTCCTCGTTAAAGCGAGCCATATATTCATTGAGGCTTTTCATTGATTTTTGATTTATGGTAAGGAGGTAGGTCACATGTTGACTACTATTCCGCCATCCAATGAATTGCGTGATAGATGTTTCGATCAGTTCTTTGAAGGAGAAGATTGATTTTCTTCTTAATTTTCGAAACTAGATGCGGGCTGTGCCAGTTAATGTGAAAGAAAATACTCTGCACTTGATTGCCTCTATCAACCCATAGAGGTCCATCCATTCTCTATATGCATCTAGATGGTCAATATGGTCTGTTGAGCCATCATACTATTTTATAATAGGGAGTTTGAACTTTGGAGGGATTTTCTCTCTCATTATCTCTTCCACTAACGACGAATCTGCCTGATCTATGGTCTTACCAAGATTGTATCCTCTGTATTTTTGTTTTTTGCTATGTTCTATAGGCCAAGTGATTTTTCTTTGTTGCATTGTGTTCTGATGACCTAGTCGGGCTTCCTGTTTGCCTCTACTGTCGTGCGTTGCTAATTTTTGCGGTCATGTGATTATCGGATCCTATCGGCTCAAATTATCGTTCCATGGTTTGTCGTTACCTCCTAATCTTAGCTTACTTTGTGCCAGTGGGTTGTTTGTTGATTCTTCAACAGCTGCAATTGCAGCAGCTTTGCCCTTTCAGGGATCCCGATTGAGTCTATGTGGCTCCTCTTCCTGCTGTTCAAGTTTTTTGAGAAGGAGATATATACTCTAATGCATTCTCGCAACCTGCTCTTCTAATGCAGCCAATTTGCTCTCCAACTGTTCTGAAACCTCAATCAGTTGCTCTTTCTGTTTTGGAATTTGTTAACCTACTTCACCTTCGGCCACCTTAGGTAGGGCAGCCCCGAGTCTCATGACATTCGTCGTCAGAAAGTTGTGGCATGTCTCCAAAATCCATGTCAATTTGTTTCTCTCGAGATCTCCTCAGACCCGAGCAGTTCTCAGTCAATTCGTCATCAATCGTCTTGACTTTTAGGTCTCTATCGTCCTCACAGACAACACTAATTGTTGATGCAGAAATTTAGCCTCTTGGGATTCCACCAAATTCGCACCAATCTTCTAGAATAGAAAGGATCGACGAGGTCTGCAAAACATAATAGCACTAAGGACTGGTGTGGCTCTTGCCACAAAGGCTTTGATGCTTAAGTCAGAATCGGAGTAGTCGAGTATGGAAAGTAGGGTAGTTCAGCGTACCTTTAGGGTTTGGTTCACCCTCTTATTTATAGAAGTGAAATCCTAATCCCTTTAGGAATTATAGAAGTCGAATCTCAATCCCTTTAGGATTTACATAAGTCGAATCCTAGTGTGCTCAGGAGATCTAGACTCCTGGGCCCATGAGTTTCGTTGCGGGCCTAATGTCGAATCGAGGGTCGAGACAAGATAGGTTCGGCTCGAGCGACACGGAGGTCGAGAGAGAATCGAATGAGGGTTCTCGGCCATTGGCCGAGAACACCTCGACGTCGAGAAGGTCTCAATACCGAGGACCTGGTCGGTCGTGGTTGACCCGGGTCGACGTGTTTCGGTGCTTACCTGGTTCGCACGTTTGAGTTTCCCTTCTGTCCTTTGGTCCACTGTTCTTTTGTCTTCCCATAACAATATGCAAGATTTTAAATGTCAATGAAAATATTAATAAAAATTTGATATCAATACGTCTTCTTGGAAAATCAAAAAATTATTAAATTAAAATTTTTTTTATTACAAAATGAACAATTCACCTTTTTTGAATAATTTAAAATTTCATATTATTAATATTATATCTTTATTTTCCTTTATTTTTTATATTTAAGAGTTCAGGCCAAAACGAGCATAGCTCAGCGGTAATTGACATATACCTCCAACCAAAAGGTTATGAGTTCAAATCCCCTCCCTAACATGTTGTACTAAAAAAATATATTTCAAAGTTCTAACTTGATAACTTTCGTTGAAATCGAAGCATATAAATGGAAGAAAATAAAAGAGATTAGTGAAGCACTTTTAATTTTAAATCATAAGAGGTTCCTTTCTAATCAAATTTTTAGTGGTAAAGTATATATTAATTTTTTCATCAAATTTTCAATTTCATTATATTAGATCTTGAGTGTTACAATCTTTACCATAAACTTAAATAAGTATTGCAATTTTTTACTTTTTGATATGCTTTCATCTTAAGAATTACTAAAAAAAAATTAATTTTCTTGTGCATTTAATGAATTATAAAACATGTATCTAGCATGAAACTAATAGTATTTTAAAGAAAAAAGGTCCAAAGCTAGATCTTTTTTGCAATCGGTGAGATTTTGGAAATTGATTCAATGGTCGTGCATAATTTTGTGTCAGATTCATTTTTGTTGAAATTAATAGTGGGTTCAAGAAGATTTCTACATTGGATAAAATCAAGGGGCTGAAATGTAGTAAAAGTTGCATAGAAGATCAAGGTCAAAATTTATCTGATGAAATTGAAAGTTTGTAGGGTAAAAAATCAATACACATCTTACCGTGTCTAGGGATATATAAAAATTATCTTTCTCCCATTAATTCTTACCTAAGTCTTAGTTACAAACAAAAACATCATGATCAAAACTTTATTAGAGTTAATTAACCTTACTTTCATAATAAACAAAATATACAATAACAATAGAAAAACCTAGCCATTATTTCACTGGGAAAATTGACATTCTTGAAAGAAAAGAAAGAGAAGAAAAAAAATAAAAAATAAAAACAAAAACTTGTGGCCTTGAGTTTGTTTCAATAACTTTGAATGATAGCTTTACAAAAAGTTCCCCAAGCAATTGCATCTCTAGAATCTGTTTTAGACTCCAATTGCCATTGATCAGCCAAAATCTTCTCAACCTCACTTGGGTGACAAGGGATTGTCAATGCACCTTCATGATCAAACCCATACTCCTCAGCTGCTTGCTCCAACAGCCTCAAAAACATAGGGTGTGTCAAACAACTCAACGGAACCACGAATCGCTTCGGCTCCTCCCCGTCCACCGCCACCACCGCGAAATGCCCTTCCTTCACGTCCTTCGGCACCGCACTCGTGTCGACATCCTCGTTGAAACTGTCGCTCATCGCACTCAACTTTCGAGTTAGCGATAGGCTCTTCTGCAGCTTCTCGACTACGACCTTAAATTTCACAATACCATTCTTTCTCTTCGTGCAGACGCTTCTAGGTCTAGCCATATGTGCAAAGCTCGTGAGAGAGATAGAGGGGAGAGAGCGATTTCGAATTTGATTTCTATTTCGATGGTGTGTTTTAGAACTTTGCAAATTAGGTGTATATATATAGCGTTAATAGGGAGGAGTGAGAGATAAGATGTAAAAAAAGAGAGAAATTGGATGGAAAGGGAGTGAGTGTATGAAGTTAAGTTAGGGGAGACCATGGCATGTGAATATATGAATCTATGCATTCAAAGTTCTATGAAACGTCACTTTTGGAACTGTCATTTCTGCCTCCAAATTATTGAAGTGGTTCTCCCAAAGTGAAGCAATTCTAAGCCCATATAATTAAATTCACTTTTTTATCCAATGCTTTTCACGAACCTACTTAGATGCATAATTATTTCTTGAGAATTCTCCATTAATTAAAACCTACCTATAAGTGGAATGTTCGTCTATGAATTTTGTTGCTAAATAAAAGGTGACAACCGGGCTAGGTGGGATTTCGAATGCAATCTTCATCTTTGATCTGTTTTTAATGTATGTGTCGATTGGTCAAAGTGAACATGACTCAATGATAATTGACATATATCTCCAACTTAGAGGATGTAAGTTTCATCTCCACCTCACATGTTGTACGGAAAAAAATGTATATCTTTATTAATTCCAGCTCTACCTTATTTTAAACCAGGATTAAATTGGATTCTCCCTACTTTGTTAGGGATATGGACCCACAAAATTTTTTGTCAATTCTCATTTGGGCATTTTACATATATATATATATCATTTAAAGAAAATATATTTAAATTTCTTTTGAGAAATAAAATATTTAATTAAATGGTATATTAGTGATAACATAATTTAATTTTACTGATATGTCTCAAAAGATTTAAAGGGACTATGATTGATTATGAGGGAACGTGTTCAAATCTTATGATGACCACCTATTTAAATGCGGCAAAATGACTCGGACACCACGAATATAAGAAAATAATAATAAAAAAAGTAATAAAAAATATGAGAATCTTTCATAACTTTTATCTCATATTTTATAAGTTGAGAAATTCAAAACTTATCTCCTGCGGCTCTATTAATTACTGTGCATATTATTGTCAATGTTATGTAGCTTTCGAGTTTAATTTCATGTGAGATTTCTTATTATTTTATTTGATTTTTTGGTTCGAGTTTTGGCCACTTGGCAAACAAACTCTTATCTCGATTGCAAGTTGGTTGTGTGTAACAAATAAATAATACGTTGATTAAAAAATATATTTTCACGGTATTTTTTTTAAGTAATACTTTAGTCTTTAAATTTTCGTGTGTAACAATTTAATTTCTATAATTTAAAATTTGTAACCATCTAATCCTTATCGTAAAAAACCTCCATCAAATATAACAATTTAATTTTTGCAATTTATGAAAACATTTGATTTCTCATAAGTTAATCGATCTACATATATAAAAAAAACTTAACAAAAATTCTTATAATAGGAATTAAATCGTTACAAATTTTAAATGACAAACTAAATTTTTAAAGTTGAAGGACTAAATTGTTACTAATTTAAAATTAAGTACATGTACTAAATTGTTACAAACTAAAATTTAGCGATTAAATCACTGCTTCAAAAATAATTTTTAACCTAATGTGTAGGTATCTCTATCTGAGTATATAGCTCAATTAAATAAGATATATATTATGACAAAAAATAAGAAGTAATTCGAATTCCTCCTACACGAGGTCGTAATAATAATTATTATATTATTATATTTTTTTTGCATTTGATAATATTATAAACTTATAATGCATATGCAATAATTTCAGATTTTTAGTCAAAGCGAGCGTAGCTCAGCGGTAATTCGAATTCCTCCCTTCCTCAACATGTTGTACTCATAAAAAAAAAAAAATTTCAGATTTCTATATATATATATATTTTTTTCACGGAGTCTTTGATCTTCGAATAATTGACCTTGACCATAATAATTCCCCTAGCTACGAACTAAAAAATGAGGTCAAAATGGGGATTAAACTTAGTTCCGAAATTAGACGGGCAATCTTCGACATCGCACACTTTGTCACTACCATCTCTAATTCATATTTATTTTGACGAGTAATATAATTAAAGATAGTGCTATTGAAATTTAAAAATGTGTAAACTATCGTATTAGTTTGCACTCATGAAATTAAATAAATTTCTTATACGTACTTTTTTTTCTTACTATGCAATCAAATTAAACAAACACAAAATCAAATAAAACTATTGATGCATAATGCATATCTACAACTAGAAAAAAAATGCACAAACTTCCAAATTCTTATTTATACTTATGTTCTCATATAAACTTACATACAAACTCCCTTAAAAAAAAGTCACAAAGTTGGGTCTTATACAATCAAATTTTTGCAACACTAACAAAGTAGACTGTAGTTGAAATCCACTTTTCTGCTCCACTTTGTAGTAGATTTTTTTTAGTACCGACAAACTCCACATCATTTTTAATACAATGTTAATGTGGTAAGAAGTGAATAGAAGGACTATAATAATCTGGTATTCATGTTTGTGCAACAGATTTGGTCAAGGTTGGTTTGTCAGATGCTCACCTTATAAATAGAGGGTCTCATTTCAATATCAGGTATTGCATTCTAACTCGGTCGTTTCTCTAAAGTTGAAATCTTGCTTCTTTTTGTGCAGGTCTTTCACATAAACGCGTATAGTACCAGAAACTTAAGTTTTCTCTCTTGTGTGTATATACATTAATATACCAAGTGATGTTGAAATAGGCACGAGCATGAATTGTTGAGTAGAAGGTGCATGAATATAAATTGTTGTTTGAAGAGTCTTCTTGCCTACGAGGTCATTGAGCAGTTAAAGGTGAAATTATCCTTAATTTCCTAATAGAATATTTTTCGAAAAATCTTATGCTATTATTATTTGTACTTGTGGTTGAGCTCTATCAAACAAATATACAGTGTACATAAAGAGGAAAAGGGATAAGAAAAGAAAAATGCAATTATTTTAAGAAGAATACATTTAATTTTAAGAGTAATTATCACACAAGTTTTAAAATTCAATGTTTTCCTTAATCTCCCTACATAAATAAAATTAAAAATTTTCACAATATTTTCAGGAAAAAGATAGAAAAATGTTGTTCTTCTACGTGCCAGATATTTTTTTTCCCTGAATTATGTCACTTTATTTTGTCCAACAGCTAACTTTTTTTTAATCATATGTTTATTAAATCATGCTAAATCAGCTAACGTATTAGTAGTGATTACTAGAGCACAAATCATGTTATTGAGGATATTGAAACGAACTACACACATAATCATACTCCAAAAAGAAAAAAAGTAAAAAAAAAAAAAACTACACATAATCACATTCCAAACTCTTTAAAAATTGGACGGATTAAACATAGACTTTATTAGAAAATAATATATAATTATTTATTCGCTCTCATAAATTTTTGTTAGCATCTTCCCAAGTACATTTGTTAGTATTTTTTTGAGATTCTTTTATTACAAAGTAAAGTAATTTGAACCTACGACTTTTCCGTTAAAATATGTTCAAATTGGTCTTAACAATTTCTTTCCTTAAAGAAGTTAACCACCAAAATAACTAACTACAATTTTTTATATCTTTTTTTAAGTGATTTAAATCTTATTGGGGCCTATATACTTCCACCCAAATAACTCATTTACAATGTCTTAAATCCTTTTTTTAAGTGATTTAAATCTTATTCCAGCCTATATACTACCCACTTATGTTTAATTTAGTCACTTCTCGTAAGTTTGTTTTATTTTTTCTACTTTCAATTTATGTTTAAAAAGTTGTCGTTTTTTTGTCACTATTTATAAAATTATAACACACAATACTATAACAAATAAAATAGACAAAAGATAACACCCGTCACTTAGAGTAGACATTTTAAAAGTATAGTAGACGTGAATGAGAGGTAAACTATTTATAATTTACCCTAACTTCATAATACTTTTTATCTCAATTTTCTACTAAATTTACAGTTACTCTCTTATTGAAATTATTTATTACTCATATTTATAAGCTAATATAACATCTCTAAAACCTTGACCCAATGTGCCGTTGAAAAAGCAGGTCAGAACCTGTTTCCAGACCCGCTTTGGAAGACGCCAGTACTTTCCAGATTTTACGTTGAAAAAATTAGTGTGGCTCGGGATTTCTCTCGATTACCACGTGGCAATTCCTCCGCCGCCCATTACCTCTGGCCTCATTTTTTTTTTTTTTTAACTTTGCCCCACTTGAAAATACAACACTATATGCAATTGCATTAATATTACATGATGTACAAATATGCAGACAAAGGACAAGATATAACAGATGAGAACTATATATTATATTATTTATTATATTTATATTTATATATGTTGGTTGGAAGAGTAAGAAAACTTGATCATATATTGCCCGGTGCTGTTGCTGCTTTTCATTTTTTTCCCTCATTTAATATGCCCTTCCCATAGAGTCATTTATAACCCTACTTTCAACATTCCAGTCTGTCAATGTTCAGTCTTTTTAATTCAACAACGTATAGGAGTTAGAAATTTCGTTCTCTGATTGTTAGTTGATAATCTATGTCTTAATCAAAGACGACTCGAAATGATATGGGACCTTAGAGTACAAAATTTTGATACAAAGATTTATCAATATTACTATTTTCTTCTTACATTTTTCATATCTAGATTAATATTTCCTTGTGGACATTAATATTTTGATACTAAGATATTAATGTATCGAACAATAGGAAATGAATTTTGTATAAAAGTACAAGAAATGAAACGAAAAAAAACCAGCAACTTTTTTTACGCTGCTAGACTAATTTTAGCAAATAACAAACTTGAAACTTTGATGTCTACTCTAGCAATTGATAATGATAAGTTGGGAGACCCATAAAAATAAAAAGTTGAAGGGGACGGAAGGATGAAGTTTTTTGTTTTTGATACAACATGTGGGAGTGGGGGTTTGAACTCATGACCTCTTAGTCAAAGATAGATGTCTTAACCAATTGAGTTATACTCGGTTTGACAAATTAAGTTAAAATTAGTCTAACTTACCGTTGT